TCTTCAATCTCACCAATCTACATCATAATATCAAAATCACACATTTGTAAACGTGAGGCAAAAGAATTGGAGTAGTAAAAGAACCCCAGCGGAGTAATGAGCATGTAGCAACGGATCAAATGCGGTGGAGTAAAAAAATTCATGCAGCAGATACCTCATGGCTCAAAGTTATTGTGAATAAGTCCAAATTCATTTTTTGCCTTGTTGTATGAACAAGTTCAAATGTTCAATAGTTTTGACTGAATTAGAATACAGGAAATCTAGCCTGAAAACAAGACCTTCATATTATGATAAATATAAACTAAAAAGAAGGTACGCAAATGGAGATTTATGAACCAACATATAAATCCTGTTACAAGTATCGAAGATGAAACCGAGGACTGAGAGGACAGATCATATACATAGCGTGTCCATGGAAAAACTGTCTGGTTCCATAATTTACCGATCCTAAGTACAAGATTAGTCTTAAATACACATGCCAGTATTTACCATTCATCTTAAGCAACTGAGCTAAGACTAAAGAACCACTACACCTAATCAATACTTCATAAGTATTCCCACCCTTAAATGGTCAAATCATTTCACGCGACATGTATATCTTGGTGTAAGTGGTGAAAACTTGATTCTAAACATTTTCCACAATCCAACTCGACTTTGGTTCTAGTAGCAAGAATCAAGATAATATTCATACAAGATCATAAGAATCAGTACATATGTAATCTCAATTTACTGATCCTTGATCTTCCTGATAAAGGAGTACTATTTGTGGCCATTCCAAAATTCATATATGAGTCTATGACCACACAACATCTCTCTCATAATAATCGGAAGCCTCCCTTTAGTGTTCCTTTTCTAGGTGAAAACGCAGTGCACGTAATTCACTCCCTGAATAAGAGAAGATCCAAAAAATAAATAAAGCGCATCATGCAACATGTAATCCGAAAATTCAATCCCTTCATAATTAACAGTGAAAAGTGTTACGGGCCTGTGTCAGACCCGCCACCTCACCCGCCACGTGTCCACGCCCGTGGCCCGAGCCACGTGCCGGACGAGGTGATTGCACTAAGGACGAACTGAAAACGCCTCAGCGTACGAACCGGACTCATCCACAAGTACGCAGTGGATGCAAAGGCCCGCACTCCGCCTCTACAACGCTGCAACGCTTTACCTGCCACACCTCGCCTCTACGA